CCCTCCTCTGCCCCTGCCCAGGCACTTGGAACTGCACTGAGGTCTCCTCTTCTTCAGCTGAACACACCAAGTTTGTCCAAGTTGACCTCAGTAGTTTCCTGCCAAAAATACCTGTGAACAATAATGACTTGTTAATGATTTATCCCTGTGCTCCCAATTGCTGCACTGATTCCGAATACCACAGGAACCATCGAGGCCGTGCTCTGCAGGCTCTGAGGTTTTGGCCACAATGGCTTTTTGTCCTTCCCCAGTGATGGGGGTGGTGGTTGTGTGAGGGAACCAAGGGTTTGGGGCACTGGGCAGCATAAATGCACATTGTTCAGTGTAACTTTAGGGAATATTGGTGGGAAAATCAACTGGATTGGACCAAGGGAGAAATCATCTGAGCTGCAATGAAGGACTGGACCATGCAGAGTTTGCAGACAGTCGTGAGCAGACACCTCAGCAGGTTCCCCATGGTAATGTCGATGCCTGTGAGGCACAGCTCACCAAGAGTTTGGTTTCTGCAAAACAGAGCTGCAAATCCACTATGTGTGGACCAGGCATGGCTCTGGAAATGGGAAGTGGGAGAACAAGCTCTCTCCTTCCTTGGAAGATGGGCACCTGCTGTTTTCCCAGGCCATCAGAGCAGAAGTGTGGAGCACAGAGGGATGAGGTACAACATCAAAAAGCTGTTCCCTGTGCTTCCAGCATGGCTGGGTAATAAATAAAGCCTCCATCAGCCATCCTGCCTCAGTGAGCAGGAGCACAGGAGATACAGGGGGAGAACCTGTGATTGCAACAGCCATCTCCACCCTTCCAGGACCAGGAGAAAAGGCAGTGGAGCCTAAACCAGAGCCTGCATGAGTCAGCTCGAGGTGTTCATGGCTGATTTTACACATTGTGGTGTGGTTTGGTCACGGAGCAGCCACATCAGAAGCTCTAGGCAGTGCTGGACTCTCTTCTCCAGTGGTCCTTCTCTGGCAGGGGTCAGTGTCACTGTTAAAAAAAACAGAACAGAATCAGAATTGGCGGGTGCTGGGCTGTGGCTCTGTCCATCATGTCTCCTCATCTGGGACGAGAGAGGGAGGCTTCCCTCTTGTAAGCAGGACTTTCTCCTTTCTGAATGTCTTTTAGTCCTAACTCCTGTGGCTCCAAGTGTCCTCATTATCCCAGCACTCATCCTTCTCTTGGATGTCTGTCCCCTCTCAAGGAGACAAGGATTGAAGAGGGCTGGATCCTCCAGTGGAGGTGATGTCCCAGCTCACCTACTTTCACTGCCTCAAATGGGCTGTGAGCAGCTCCCTTCCTGTTCCTTGGAATGAAAAGCCTGGTAGAGCTCAGTCAGTCTGTACCATTTCAAAGGAAAGTTTGATCAGGTTATTGGTGGCCTTGAATCAAGACAGTGGGTAGAGCATCTTCTGCTGGATCACATTCTGTTGAGCAGGGAGGTTATTTCACTTCCTGCTCTCTTTGTCCTTGATCCTGTGTGTTCACAGCTCTGTGCTGCTCTGGACAGGCAGCAGAGATGCCTGAAAATGGAAATTTCTCCACCTTTTTGGTTTCAGCCTCTTTAGTCCTGGGCCAAGAGCTGTGTCATCCTTGTTCCTAAGAGCTTCCACATGGAGACATGCTTTGGTGATGAACACTGGAGTCTTCAGAGGCTCCCAACAGGCTGAAACCAAGGGAAGAGTTTTATGCTTACCTGCTTCAAGCTCCTTCCAGCATGCCAGCCCAGCTCTTTGAACATCTCTGATACCTTGGAGCAGCCTGGTCCTGTGGAAGGTACCCCTGCCCATGGCAAGGGGTTGGAACAAGATGAGTTTTAAGGTCCCTTCCAACCCAAAACATTCTGGGATTCTATGATCTTCAGTGCTTGGACTCCCCAGGATGCAGCAAGGATGGTAATGATTAAAGGGGCATCTGAGATAATGGAGTGCACTCTTGGAAGTCTCCTGTGAAATTATCTTCAGTCAAAAAAAAAAAAGTTATTGATTTGTTTTAAATCCTTTATGGAGGTCACTTGCAGGGAATGTCCTGGAAGAAGTATGAATGTGCAAAAAGGGAACAAGGTGTGTCTCTGAAATCCTTCAGGCTGTTTATCACCCTGCTCTGGGTGCATCCTCCAGATCAGGAACTACAGCAATGCTGGGAAGGTATCCAGATGGAAGACCAAGTGGAGGACCACTCTTTGGGTGGTCACAGCTGGTTTGTGAGGGTCAGAAGAATCCCAGAATGGTTCAGGTTGGAAGGGACCCCAGTGGGTCACTGGTGCCACCTCCCTGCTCAGGCAGGGCCAGCCCAGAGCACAGGGCACAGGATTGTGTCCAGAGGGGCCTGGAATATCCCCAGGGAGGAGACTCCAGCCCCTCCCTGGGCATCCTGTTCAGAGCCAGGGCACTGCCCAGGGAAGAAGTTCTTCCTCCTGTCCAGGTGGAACTTCCTGGGCATCAGTGTCTGCCCAGGTCATGGGGTCACATCAATTTTGGGTTGACCCCATGTGCCAGTGCTGAAATTCTTGTTCCTGCTCAGCATGTGAAGACACCAGTGAAAGAAATTTTCAAACCATTCCACCTTTGCTGTTCAAACTGGTGCAACCACGTGTGCCCACGTGTTGTGTGGCCTCAAGAGGAGCACGTGCCCATTGGAAGGGGGAGGCTGGAAGTGAGGCAGGACCCAGGCACCCCATCCTTGGTGCCTCCTGCAGCAACCAAGGAGCTCAGCATCCCCAGGAGCCCGGAGCCGCATTCTCAGCATTCCTGCAGCTCCTTAGATGTCAGTGATGTCATCGATAGCAGCCAGGGAATTGCAGATCCCAGAGGGCCTGAACTCATGTCTTAGCAAGTAAGCGTAGGAGGAACCAATTTCTGCAGTGTACTGCACTGTACCAGCAAGTTTTATTGAGTCAAATCACAGCAAATATATTTGCATCTGCATTTCTGTCTCCTGGCAATGCTACAACATCCAACAAGTGGGACAACTCGTGTCCTCCACCGGCCACTCTCTCACCCCTATTAAAGGAAATGACATCTGAGCCATAAAACAACGTGAGGCTGGTACAGTGTGGGATTGAAAAGCAAGTAATTTATTCCTTTAGCTGTTCAGTCCTTTGCCCTGGTGCCCAGGACCTGCTGACATCCAGCATATTTCAAGAACTGGCACCATATGAAGGCATCAGCCCTTCTCTGGAAAGCGTCCTGTGGAAACTCCATCTCTTGAGAACCTGTGGAAGAGATGCTTTTGAAATTTTTTTTGTGCAGGACAAAATGGCTCGTTTTGGGAACACAGGATCAAAATTTTAATGTAAATTTTCGTACTTTTGTCACGTGGCTTTTTGTACCAGGGGCTTTGGGATGATGGCACCCCAGCAGTCTGCAGGCTCCTGGTAGGCATGGGATGCATCAGTTCCTGCTGCTGATGTAGCTGGAATGGACTGAAGCAGAGGTTTTTGACAATGTTTTGGTGATACCACCATAGCACCGTCTGCAGATGGTCTAGTGAACAGTATTAAATAGCATTTTACAGCCTAAAATTCAGTGGTGAGGGGGACTGATGGACCATGAGATACATTTCTGTCTGAAATGGAGATGTTAATTATTTTTTTTTCTGGTTGTACTTAGGAAGTTGCCTCTGACAGAGCCTTCCAGGGGCAGAGCACGGCACAGAGCTCACCCTCTGCTCTGGCTGGGCCTGCCCGGGTTGCCGTGGGTGCAGGACCGTGGGTAGGACGGACCCTCCTGTGCGGCTGCGGAATTTCCTGCTCGGAAGCAGTTTGCTGTGTAGCCTCAGTGCTGCTTGAATGTGGCTCTGTGTTACTCAGCTGTAATTAGAGCAGCTTGCCAGTTCTTGATTTCATCCCTTCGTTTCAACGGGATTTCCAGACCTGGTGCAATTTGCCCCAGAGAGCTGGGGCTTGTTTCCCAACCCAAATCTAGCCAGGCCTTATAGCTACACCTGCATTTTTCCAGCTACAAATAACAATGGAAGCGATTTTATCTAATCTCCCACCACCTGGTTTGTTCTTGTCCGCATTCTGAGGCACGAGGGTATTGAAAATGCTTTTGGCAGGAGTAGTTTTAAAAGCCGTGTAACCACCAGCATTAACACAACCACCGCGTGTGAAGAGCGAGGCGCGGACGGCAGCGACCTCGTGCAGGGAGGGAAACCCGGACAGCCAGAGCTCGTGGGTTGTGTGGTGTCCTCGAGTAAAGCCTGGGAGGCAGCTCAGCAAAGCCCGGGTGATGTCCCGCAGGGAAGAGCCCACCCGGATGCACCCACGAGGGGCTTCAGGGACCGCTCGGGTGCCGCCGCGTCTCTACGTGACTCGGCACCCGGACCCTGGGGACACCTCGCCAGGGCAGATCTGTGACTTTCTAGCTTGGGTTTCACGATGGAGCGCCCAAGGCCCCTCCTCTGCGCCGGCATTTCGGCGCTGCGCTTTGGAAGGACTCCAGGCCAGCAGTGAAGGGCTCTTTGATAATATCTGACGGGCGGGTAAGAATTTTGGGCAGCAGCCAAGGTACACATTGCCTGTAATCGTTAACTCGGTCTGTAAACAGTTCAAACGGCACTGAAGAGGCCGTCAGTTATTACAGGAGGGGAAAGCCTTTCATGTGCCCGCGCAGCAGCCGGAGCCGCCGATCCCCGGCCCCTGCGGAGCGGCCGCGGCTGCGGGTCCGCGGGCCCTGTGGGCCTGCAGCGAGCGCTGACCTTCAAACCTTGGGCGCTGCAGCAGCAGCGACAGCGTTGCCTTCCTTTTGTTCTGCACCTGGCTCGGTGCAGCCCGGGGGTGTGCGGGGGGGAAGGGATCAGCCATCGCTCCCCCGGGGCGCCGCGCCAGCCGGGGAGGTTCGGCAGCGCTCCCTCCTCCATCCCGAGCCCACCTCCTGCCTGTGGCTTTGCCCCGGGCTCCCTCCTCCATCCCGAGCCCACCTCCTGCCT